CCGTTTTTCTGATCACCGCGCCCGTAAGACGACACACACCCACAACCCTAAGTCCCACAACTTTACCGAGGCGTGAGGGCTACCTGGACATTCACCACCTGCAGGCTGGGTGGAATAAATGCTCTTCGCATGGTATGGGCAGGGGCTTCATTGGTAGCTCACGGGTAGTATCCGCCCTTCGTCTTGCGTCACGAAGAACTGGCGTCATACGCGCTGCAGTGCTTATTCACAAGAGCGGCAGCAGCAAGTAGCTGAACCAATCGCTGCAAGCTTCGCTTGTAATCGTGCTCCGCAACGTTCCAGAATCCGCTGTTTGTTTTTGTTAGTCCTGACTGCTTCACCCCTGCTGCAGGGGAGCTGTTGGAGGATCGTGCTGAAACGCCTCAAGTTCAGAAACGGCTTATCGCCATGCAATGTATTCCTGAAAACGGGTGCCTCACACACCCCTTAAAGATGCGTGTTAAAAGGTTGCCCGACCGTCCCATCTTCGCCCTTAGTATTAATGTCCCCACAGCTGCGCAAGAGAGGACATCATCTGTCGTGATGACAGGGGGATAGTGAAAGTGTAGTATCATTTTGGGTCCTCTGAATGATGCGGCCAGTCACCTTGGTATACTCCCAGACTGGGCACACTGCTGGCAACCCACCAGAGCCTAGACTTTGGTACCCAGACCGTACACCCCAAATCCTACATATGTACTATAGTCTAAACTCCTGAATAATCGGGTTATGTAGGGGATTGTAGAGGGGACTAGTACATGTTGCATGCCATATGTCAGACCTGTAAGGTTTTGTTGCATCAAGCCTCGAAACTTGCTGAACATCTGACGCTGGAAGCTACGGAACGTACAGGGACCACAGGTATTTCTCGAAATTCAGGCTCACTGAAATACATTGTGTCCTGCTTTAAGAAATATTGACGGAGAAATCCCATGTCAAGCGGAAAACGAATTTTAAGCCTGAGCTTCCCAACTCCAACTTCAAAATCCTACCCCTTCTCCCAGGTGGGTTTAGAGTTCAGGGAATGCAGCAATGGATATACAGAGTATATCCTATATGCTCCCCAACGAATTCCGCCCCTGCCTTACCAAGCATCAGGGAGCCAAGGCTTTTTTAAGTCTGGGAACGCAGCAGGTGGGCGCATGCCAGAGCACCTTTGTCGTGATGCCAGATGGGTGTCATGGCTTTGTTGGCTCTGTCAGCTTAGAGCATAGGCCCTGAACCCTGAATCCTAAGCCCTACCTCAGCCATTCGCCCTGAACCCTAATCCCTCCGCCCTGAAAGCTAAGCCCTTCGCCAGCCCTGAACCCTAAACCCTGAACCCTAAACCCTGAACCCTAAACCATGAACCCTAAGCCCTGAACCCTAAGCCCTGAACCCGAAGCCCTAAACCTAAGCCCCAAGCCCTATAATATTCTTCTAGTATAAAGCCTAGGCCATGAGGTGTAGTGTTTCAGGATGCGCTCACCATCGTTATGGGCTCCCTAACCAGTCCCCCCAAACCCTTCAGGTTCGCGCTAGCAGTCTCAACTAGGGATCCGCAATCAGGGAGTTTTGTAATCTCGGGGCACCTTAGAGACATGATAACAATGGGTTATAGGCTTTATAATGTGCGTGGAGGGAATCTTGCACCACTTAAGATACTGGAGCTATTGCAGTTCCAAGTGCTGGAGATATTTATGGTGGTGCATGCATCCACCGTCTGAAACAACAGTTATGTACGGATCATGTTCAGCGGAACTCGGATATATCCCCGCTGTTCGCAGTTGAGGTCCACGTTGCTGATCGATGCTGGTGATCTGGAGATAGAGGGCTGGGCAGCTCGAATTTCTCCAGCAGTCGAATTTCTCCAGCAGGGCTTTGACTTGTAGCGCAGGTCCCATCTCTCAAACCAGCTATAGTCTTTAAATTCCTGATATCCCCCTAATATCCCCCTGAATAGGCCCTATAATACTTACCTATATAATCCCCTGTAAAAATCCCCTTAGAGTTGAGGAAGCTTGAGGACTTCCTCACAGGCGAGGGATAGCTGTTGACAGATCCTACAGAGGTTATGCAAGGGTTGTTCAAGGGGGGTTTAGGGTTTAGTGTAGACGCCCACCTCCAGATCCTTCAGAGCAATCTATAACGGCCTGACCTGACATCACTTTAAAAGACGCTTTGTATAGCACATCGTTTCAAAAACATTTCATTTTAGGCTTTAAAGAATTGCCAGTACCTGGTCTTTGAGAGCTTATTTCGACTCCAGCCTTGAAGAATAGTAGAGACCAACTGGGCGGCTCGTATCTGTGGGTTTTGTGGGTGTGCTGAGAGGCAGCTTTCAGGGTCTATGTAGGGCTTGCGGCCTAGGCCTTGAGGTACAGGATCTGAGGTGGTTTAGAGAAACTGCTCTAGATCCCGGCCCATGTTCACTTTTCCCTTTGGTTTCGAGAAGTAAGGAAAAGAGCCACGAGGGAAAGTACTCTGCGAGAGGTCCGGTGCCGAACTCCACAAGCAACTCGCCAATTATGCAGCTTCCAGTTTGCAAACTTTCTGGGCCGTACCAGTCGCAAGAGTCCCATTCTTGGACATCTCGTTGTCCAGGGTTCATGTTTAAACCCTAAATGGTTTTCTTTTCCATTATCCCTTTCTAATCCTTATATTAGAAATATGTAACCCCTATATCCCCTAAACCCCAAACCCAAGCTTTAGACGCTTTGGATGTTGCATGCATGCTTCATGCTAGAGGCTTGCGTTTCTCCATGCCCATGAAGCAATCAATTGAGGGTGGCGTTGGGTTGGGGTCCTAGGATGATCTGGGCTGGTTTAGGGTTTAAGGTTAAGGGTTTAGGGTTCAGGGTACATTCCAGGAAGATGACGTGCTTCCAGCTGCAAGGGGCGTTACTTAATTAATGCAATGCAGGGATTAGGATAGCAGGTGCTTGTGGGCATCTCTGAAATGCAGAAATCCTCTTATGTGCTCGGTAGGGAAAGGTAACCAGGTAACATCCCAAAGTATCTTGTAACTTGAGGTCAAATGCTTCCTCCGTGGGCAGATATATTGTCACACATGCGGTCCAGATAGCAAATACAATCTCATAACTCGAATATTTCACTATGCTTCCTACTCGTATCCCTCTTATCAAACTCAATGTAAAGCCCTCAGCTCTACCCTCCGGGTTCTGAACCCTGAGCCCAAATCTCTGTTTCACCAGCGTGCAAGGAACCACTGCCGGATGGATTGTCGAGTCTGGAAGGATCTGGCAAGACGTTGTTTCGACAGGGGAAGGGTTACGAGCCCTTTGTATGCTAAAGCCTTGTATGTCTTTCAATGACATCTGATGGGATGACTCGGCCCAAAATCCTATCCCCAACCCTAATTAAGCCCAAGTCATACCACAAATGCCAAAACCGGCCCGCGATCCCGATCTCATTCTCAACAAGCTTCAGGGCAGGTAGAAGCAAGCTCACAAGTACAGCCAAAGTAGGCATGATACACCCAAAGAAGATACCATTTGTAGACTTTAGGGGCTACAGTAGGCATCATTTACCCCAAGTAGGCCCCAGAATCAGGTCATAAGCATGTCGATACATCCGAGTACAATATTCCACAGAGCCTAAGGCATGCAGTCCAGACCCGACTCTCTGCCAAGCCCCAAAGTGGAGCCCGAAAGCCCGTTTGGCTTAGAGTTTAGGGTTTAGAGTTCAGGGTGTAGGGTTTATGTAGAGTTTAGCAAGTGCAGCTAGATTAGAACGAGACAACAGCATCTCAGGAGTATCTGCGGAGGTTTTGGCCGGTGGAGCTGGGACCCAGGCCTACGTTGGACTTTGTGTCCCTCACTGGAGACGTGATTTGGGTAGGATTTCGGATTTGAGTTTGTAAGTGTTGTGGCAGCTTCTCAAACTGAAAGCCCCTTGTAATATGTTGGGATCTATATTGGGGTCCCTTTATTTGGGGAAACTACCAAATAGAGGAGGAGGGGGAGGGAACGCAAGCGAGAGCAAACGCAGTTGTGAGAACTGTCGGGATGGCTGGGACTGGATCCTTATACTAGCCCTCATATAATCCCTGACAATTTAATTGTTTTCGATTTTGTTTTCGATTCCTCGATGTCCTGCAAGCAACCAGCAAAGCAAGATGTGCGCTTTGAATATTCTTACCCTTGGTAGCTAAGAAGGAAGGAATGGATCCTTATAGCATGTCCCTATATAACCATTGTAGTAGTTTCCATGTTCTTTTCCATTCTTTCATTCCCAGCTAGCCACAGGTAAGTTTTTGGCACAGCAAGGCTTGTGACTCATTTCCACAAAGACCACATCGGAGACATTGAGGCGGCAGTGAAAAGAGGTGCTGTCAAACTGCATGGGCAAGATGAGCTTCCAGTCACAGGCGGGCTGCGGAAAACAAGGACAGTTGTCACAACCCCAATATGGGTCCCACTCTTCCATTGAAGGCTTCTGGGAGCAGGAAGTTGGGCAAACCCCCCAAGTACAAGGATTTCACAAAAGGGGCTTAGAACTACGCGACCCTTGATTTGGGACTTTACAGTACGCCTCAGTTCTCTATCCGGCTTGTGGTCCTCTTGATTTTTGTCTTTGAAGAAGAAAGCTCTGGGTTTAGAGTGAAGGGAGCCAAATCCATGGACCAGTCTCTTGGAAACTTGGTTGGAATTCAGCCCACCTTTTCTTTGGCTTGCATTGCACAGTGGAGTTCAGCTTTCCACGGACCACCTACATGCAAAGGAGGCTTCATCCCCATTTGGCTCATGTCTTAAATCCACATCAAAACCTAGAAAACTCAAGCCAGCACCCACTACTTCCCGGTGCAATTCTGAGCCCGCAAAAAGCCAGAAATCTGAGCGCGAACGCATATCTGCACAGAGGCATATCGCTTCGTGTGCGCTGTAAAGCCAGCATATCATTCACCTCATCCTAATTCTTTATGTAATGAGGCTTCTGGAAACCGTATACACATATATGTAAAATTCATTGTCTCCTGTCTCCTACCGAAGCATCTGCAGGTCTGTCAGAGGTTGCTGAAGCCTTCCACTTCGCCAAGCTCATTGACAGAGCCTATCCAGACTACGACTTTCCAGTGAACCTTTTTAACACAATGGAAGGCCATGGGGGTTTAAAAAGTTGGGGTACCATTTGTTCAGAGTCACTAGAATACTGTACCGATTATAGTATGTTATGCCCCTGCAATTTAAGAAAACTACCAAATGGTTGGCTCTCATATTTGAGTTCCAGTATTGGCTGCTGTGAAATGGCTTCCTATTTGAGATGCTACGCCCTGTTCGCCTTTCCAATTCTCCCAGCCAAAAAGTTGAGAACGGTCAACCAAAAGCTCAGCACCAAAGATTCAGCAATGCTTCCCCGTCAAGGTGCATTCTACATTGGTTTCATGCAGTCCGTGCAGGTCAGGGGGACACTGGTAGAGCGCTTTGAGGTGGCGAAGCATGGCCAGCTGCGTATGGTCAAGGGAGGCGGAAGATCAGATTTCGTGATAAAGAACATCAAGACCAATGCTGCGGTGGCTGAAGTGGATGCCCATGGTACCTAGGCCCTATATAGGCTGTTGAGACGTGCTTTTTCTTGGGGGCTAGGGTGGGTGAGGGTGCAGGAGGGGTTTGGATGTCTCAAGAATCTTGAACGTGGGCTCCTTGGCGTCCTGTTGTGTAGTCACTAACTATCCAAGAATGTTAAAGTTCAGTTTCGCTCGTAGTCCAACGCCGAGGTAATTTCACAGGAGCCAGGACTTTACCCGGGGAGGTCTTGACCGGCGCAGGGAAGTGGGATGAGAATAAGCTCAGCATAGCCATGGTCATCGAATATGGCAGCTTCCGCTACTATGAAGGTGGCGACAATGAAGCCAACGACCTTCTGGACGCGGTGAACCCGACTGCACAGGTGGTGGGGCCGGTGGATGTAGCGACTCTGAACCATCACGGCCAAGGGGTCACCAAGACATTTGCTGAGCTTCTCGATCCCAAGGCGGTAGTTCTGAAAATCAAAAGTGGGGTTCCTTAAATCCCTGTAGACCTTCATAGGAGGATAATGCACAATATAACTATAACCCCTGTAAGTCTATTATCCCTATATCACCCGTTATAGTAGTTTTCATGTTCTTTTCCATTGTTCCACTATATAACCCTAAACAAGCATGAGCCATAACCACGCAGCTGTAAAGACGATAGCTTGAAAGCCCAAATCCTCTCAGCACTTCACTTGTGGGTTTAGGGTCTTCAGCCCACCAAATTCTATCAATATCCCCATCCTGCGCCGACCCACAGGTGGCTATTCTGCAAGCTTGGTGTTCAAGCCATCCACCAAGCAGAAGCATACAGATATTGAGCCGCCAGGCCGAATGATATACTTTGGAAGGCTGGGATGGACGCCATTTTTTTTTTGCCAGTCTTAGGGGTAAGGCGGTCAGGGTTTTAGAGCATACTACGAACAATATTCATAGGAATGACTGTAACAATTCCGTACGAGAGGAAGAGGATATCAGAATTGTGAGGGCTTATGGGCAAGATTCCCCGGACCTCTGGGGATAGCCCCTTTTTATTGCTCTGCCAGCTTCCCTACTGTGTCAATCTATCTTGCATCCCCGCCAAAAAAGCTATCCGGATGGCTTTAAGATTTTGGTGGGAGAGACTCGCCACTTGAAGTTTGGTGGGCAGACGGTGGGTCGGCTCTCACATGCGGTCTGAGTCGTCCACGAAGCCTTGGCATCATTTCCAACTTTAATGCCTACTGGGAGATCCAGTTGACTATGATAAGCATCAACTTTATCGTGAGTTCCTACAACTGTGTACTGTCATGACACTCAAGTAGGATTTTTGGGTAAACTCGGAACCCTGTACACCGTGACAACACATCATCCCGCCTCCGCAGCCTCCGCATGGTTTAGAGTTACACGCGCACCCGCCCACCCCTTAATTTCAACAACTCCCTACGGTGGCCGGGACTGCAAGTACTGAGGAGAGGAAGGCTTTGGGCCTAAGCCCTAAACCCTCAAACCCTAAACCCTGAAACCCTAAACCCTCAAACCCTAAGCCCAAAACCCTAAACCTCTCAGGAGAGGAAGGCCGTGGGCAGCAGCGGGAGATTTTTGCAACTGACATGTTCACGGAGAAGCTCGCTGAACTTGAGGCAGGGCTCTGTTTGGAGGGTTTGTTTTTCGTGGCGAACTATGTGGCACCCCTTTGTAGTAGGTTTATGGTTTGGGGTTTACGGTTTGGGGTCTAGTGTTCAGGGAGTACGTAGGTCACCTTCCTATGACAGGCTGGTTCTTTCTAGAACATAATCTGATGCTGTCCCCTTGCAACGTGTTTTTTTTGCACTAAGACTAAGACCCATGTCAATTGCCCAGCTCACTCAAATCTACATTCCTAATTAAATCTAAATCCCTAGGCCCCCCCAACCCCCCCAAGCCCCCAAACCCTAAAGCTCTACGCTCTCCAAAACTGCTTTGCCCTAGCCTTATTAACCGACACTCCCCAACAACCCAGCTAGCCCTCAACCCAGCGTCTCTCATCCCTACCCCCAAAACCCTTAAATGGCACCATTCAGTGGATATCAACAACCCTGCATCTTACATGCTCAACTGCCCAAGGTTCCACAGGAAGAGGCCACCCCCTCCCGCTAATAGCAATAATCTCCTCATAGTTGCTACTTGGGCGGGGTCTATGAGAATTGAGGGGCAGTACATAGTTAAGACCATCCAGGACTGCATCGTTAGCTGAACCTTAAACCCCAAACACGAGAGCTTCCAGAGGCCCAGGGCCTGGCGAAGAGTTTCAGATCCGTGGCAGGCCACGTAGTCGTCCCTGGCACCAGCATTGTTAATTGGGTATATGGAGACCGTGGGATCAAGGGCCCATACTAGCAGTTGGCTGCGAAGACTTAGGGTTCAGGGTGTGGCTTGTTTTAGGATTCAGGGTTTAAGAGACTAATGGTTCAGGCCGTCGGGGATTAGCGTTCAGGGTTTAGGGGTTTAGGTCTTCAAGTTTTGGCTTCAGGGTCTCCGTTTTTTTTTCAGCATGATGAACAAATCCTTGCAACAATTGTGTATCCATGTTTGGGCGGAAATATACCAAGGGCGTCTTGTTCGTGTAAACCTCCGTGAGCCATTTAGCGCTTGGGGCTTAGTCCGACAAGGGGAGCTCTATTGCCCCAACCCCTAAGAACGGTACCCCATGACTACCATGTGACCAGCAGGGGGAATTTGAATGCCTTGAATGGAAGCCTACCTGAAGACATTGGAAGGTTTGTGTTTCGGAGACGAGTTACCAAATGTAGGACCTGTTTGGCCTGAGTAGCTACTTATCATTAGTTGCACTGGGACTTACCTCGGCGCCTACTATGATTGTTATGATCCTCTGACTGAGCCCGCTGAAGACGGGTAATGTCATTTTGTAACCCCAAACCCTATATGTTCGACAGTGTAGCAGGACTTTTCCTTTCTGGTCTCGTAGCAAAGCCGGGTTGTGGAAAGGAGGGCTTCTGATGTGAAAGTAAAGCTTGGAATGCATCGGGCTGGCAAGGTACGCGTACATCCCAAGCAAGACGACAAGCAGAGCTATGAGATCTTTGTCCTTGATCCAAGTTCATTGTCTGTCTTATCCAGGCATGGCTTCTATGAGGTCCGAGCCTGATTTTCATTGTATTGAGGGGCTTCAAATTGTCGTAAGGGGCTTCGAAAAGTTGGAAATCGTAGGCTTGGACTTCTGTTAGTGGATGTGCTGAGTGCTGAGATCCTGAAGAACTCGGGGCTTGTTTGAGACCCGGGAATTCGCGATCTGTATGCAAGCTGTCTCAAAGTCAGACACTGGCGCGCCAACGTGGAAAAGCGGGCCCTTTCACCTCAAAGGGCGTTTTTGTTTATCTTGTTCAAGAATATAGGGATTAGGGTTAGGGGCCCTGAATCCCTGACCTCAAAAGCATAACCTTAAACACTATAAACCCTACAAACCCTATAAACCCTTAACCTTTCTCAAACCTGATGCCAAGGTCTTCGACCGATCCTGAGGCGGAGCCTGCGGCTGAGCCGGACTGGTCAGAGGTTCTGCAGCGGGTGGAGCAGGCAGATCGTATAGCCTAGGGCTTGGAGCTTAGGGTTTGGATTTTAGGGTTTAGGGTTTGGGGTTAGGATTTAGGGTTTTAGGAGGGGTACGGGTGTGGGGAAATGGCGTTAGGAATGAGGGTGCGTTTCGGGTCCAAGTGTTGGGGTTTAGGACGAGAAGAATCTGAAGGGTTAGTTTGCTGGAGTTATGTGTAGCAGTTATACCGGAGGTTCGTAGTACAGCTATCTCTCACCCCCTAAACCCTAAACCCCTGAACCCTTAACCACGAAGGGGGTACGTTCCTCATCGCAAAGCAAGCCGAGAGGTAGGCGGAGGTTTCCTTCTGCAGGGCAGATTTTGAATGGAGTTGAGTAAGCCAGTTTGCTGCTTTGGGGCTTGCGGGGTTTTGCCGTTTGGGGGTTCAGGGGTTTGGGATGTTGAGGGTTTCTTGGCATAAGGGCTTGGGTTTGGGGGTCGAGGGACTTAGAATTTGAGGGCTCGTGTGTTTTCAATCGATAAGGGTTTAGGGTGTAGGGGTTTTGAGACTTTCGGGTGTAGGCTCCAAGCTCTGAAGCTTGAAGCTGCTTCATTTATAAGCTAGCTGATCCTGTTGCTACATGTACCACATTCATCAAGTTTCTCCCTGTTTGGAGTTTCAGGATTGAGGGTTCACCGCCACGGCCAATCCTCCGAAACCCCCCACTAAAGCCCAAAGCCCAAACCCTTCAACCACAAAACCTTCAAAAACACAAGGCCCTACCACCCCCGAGCCCGAACCCCCAACCCTTAAACCCCCTTACCCCTCCCCCAAACCCCTACACCTCCTTAACCCTAACCCCCCCAAACGCCCCCCAAACCCCTAAACCCCTTCATCCCGAATGCCACGAGGCCGTTCGCGAAGCCGAGGCTTCTTCGGCGGCTCCCAGCGCGGCTACCATGGCTGAAGAGGCAAGTGCTTGTCTAAGCTATTTAGGGTTCAGGCTTTAGGGTTTAGGGTATAGTTTAAACTCCTCAAAGAAAGGGGCTATATAGGGGAGTATTGTGGGGTTTATTAAGGCGATACTAGGAGTTTAGACTATGGTTCATATAGGGGTTGTATACGTAAGGGGGTATTATTCTCTTACTGTTAGTATTATTATGAATGTGTGCTCATTCTTCTCACTACCTATCATTTGGGTTCTAGAAATTAGTAGGATCATATGGGGTTTCATGGGGACTGTATAGGGTTTTGGCACCTCAAGTTATTCCTAGGGTATCACGTCTATATCCCTCTATGAATAGGCGACTCTAGGTAGGGCTGAAAATGCAAGTCGCACTCCGGAAATTCCAGCCGTCCTTGTTTTCAAGCTCGCTCTGCTTAAGCCATCTGAGCTATGGTCTAAACCCCTTAAAGGGAGGTTATGCAGGTTTTAGAGGTTTAGGGTTTAGGATTTGCGGTTTAGGGTTATGGGGTAGGGGGTCTGAACTTCTTAAAGGGGGTGTTATGTGGGGGGAGTATATAGGGGAGTATTGTAGGGCTTCCTAGGGGGGATGCTGGGAGTGTAAAGTTTCGTGATGTTGGAGAAGCAACAAAGCCCCCAGGTTTCGGGTCTTACTAACTCTCGGAGTGCCATGGACATGTCATCTTCGGAGCCCTTACGAATCGCTAGCAAGCCGCTTTAGCGTTTTTCACAAAGTCTAAATGGGTGGTTGTCAAAATGATGATCCCGTTTTGAGTACCCTAAATATTAGTTGCCGTATTATAGTAGGGATCCAAAAAGGGACCATCATTTTGACAACCACCGAAATAGATTTCCTCCATGACGCTTACACTTGATCTTTGCATTTCCCCTGTTAAGCGTTCACATCTTTTAGAGTCCCGCCGTGTAGGTGGCTCTCCTGGTTGCGGAGAAGATGGCGCTGAGAGAGCAGGCTCCACAGTTCAACTTATAGGTATTCAAGGAGAGGGGGGTGGTTTAGGGTTTAGGGTTTAGGGTTTAGGATTTAAGGTTTAGGGTTAAGGGGGGATGGGGGCGAATACAGGTATTGCTAGCCTTGTCAGGGTGTACTACCCCTAATGCACAAGAAATTCAGGTTTGAGTTTAGGCCTCGACGCTTGGGAGTGTAGGTTTGGGTGCAGACAGGGTGTGAGTTTGAAGGTAAAGGAGATTACTGGACGTTCCTGAAAACCGATGATCACATAGGGCCAAGCATGGGAGGTAAACATTGAAGTTACCAGGTAACAATATTTCGTCGCAAGCAAACCATCAGCAACTGTCAGTGCCAGGTGTTAAACAACTACAGCTGAGCCTTGCAAAGGATTGTCAACGATGAATCTCCAGATCGATCGAGACAACACCATTCAAGCGAGCGTGGTAGTCTTGTTGTTCCCTTTTGCTCGGGAGGAACGATCCGAACAGTACTATGCACAACACACCCGCGGCTTCAACACCCTTAAGATCTTTAATCCTATACCCCAGATCCATTTCCTACCGAGCAACACCTGGTGGACCCCAATAGTACATCAAAACTATATGGCTCAAAGGGGGACCTACTCAGTGCCGCATCAGGAGGACAAAAAGTTGTCCAACTTACCCAAAGGTTTTTGGACCCAACAGGAATCTCAAACCTTCGGCCCCATGGCCCGACACATTCTCCTAGGAAGGGGGCCAAAGAAGCTAAAGAGCCCTGGGATCCCTAAGAGAGAGACTCTGAGCAATCCCAATACCCATTGAGGGTTTAGGGTTGCTCAGCCCCCAACTTCTGCCCATCAACAAAACATTATTCGCGCAGGTGGAGCGACAACAGGATGTCTGGGTGATGTCATGGGCTTTACTTGGGAGGTTTAGGGTTTAGGCTGCGGGTAATTGGGAGGTATAAGAGAATTCACGCGTTTAGGCTTCAGGGGTCCGAGCTTCGGATTCGATATAGAACCTTTTGAAGGGGAAGAATCTTTCCAGCACCCCTTTTCTGGGTTTCCTGTTAGTTCGGAGAGAGTAGATACGTAGCGCCCCTCTGTAGGGCAATAGCGCAAGCCTTGCGTGCCAAGTCTCCGAACCTCTTATCGAACACATCTTCCGGTCACTTTGTGGAGGGGAGTTCCCCGAAGATTTTCCCAATGGGTTGAAGTCCTTATTAACACATGGGGATTTCCGAAAATTAGGGGTACCTTGTTTTGGGGGTCCCCATAATAAGGATCGTAGTACTTTGGGGTCTGTAGTCGGGTCCCCTTATTTTTGGCAAACTACCAAGTTGGGGGTGGGAGGTCGGTGAGGAGGTTGGGGGGTGGGAGATGAGGGAAATAGTTGTATTCACGACAAGGTAAGAGATGGAAAGGCTGAATGTACCGATGGGTACGGGTTGAGGTAAAGAACCTGACAGTCATTCAGGGTTTCGGGTTTAGGGTTCGGGGTTTAGGGTTTCGGGTTTAGGGTTTCGAGTTTAGGGTTCGGGGTTTGGGCTTTAGGTTTTAGGGTGTATAGGGCTCAACACATTGGACCTTTGTTCGAAGACCGACGTCAAAGTCCTCATACCGAACTAGCACACCAAGCCGCAAATCCTAAGCCCATTTTCCAGCCCTCCTCATGGAGAATGTCTTGATTAAGGGATTCCCCTCATGCGGGTGCTCGTCGTGAACCTCTCCCGAGGGAAGGTACCTCAAATTGAGATGCACCGTGATTCACCATTCAACGCTACATAACCAAAACTGCAATGCGTAGACCCAAACCCGAAGTTCCTAGACAACAAGCCCAGCACAGCAAACTCTGTACGATCCCTTGCGCATCCCTGTCTGAATCTATAGATGGTTTACACGTGATTCCCTTCTAATCCTATTTGAGTCATAGGGCATTCTCTCAGAACCCCATGAATTCCTTCACAGGGTACTCCTTTTCTTCACAGATGAAGTCTTCCAGGAGCGCATCGAACTGCTGGAAGATGAGCTCAGACAGCTTGATGTCATGCACGGCCCTCGGATCATGCAACTCAGATAAATCAAACACTGAAATGGTTGTGCTCTGGGCTTCTGGGGAAGTGGTTGAATGGCGTCAGGTCGGATTTGCAGACTTTAGGAAAGCAAGAAGCGTAATGTGTAAAAACTGCTCCCTGACGAAGTGCCTTGTTCTCCAAGGGTACCTGAGGAGCTCAACTACGCAATGCAGACACCGAACATGCAAGTCTGCAATTGTCCCCCCTTGAGAGGATCGTTTTTGAAGGAAATCCGTAATATCACAAGTGTCCCTTGTAGCCAATTTCCCAATCGGAGGGCTTAGGGTAAAGGCCTACCTCAGACTCTAAACTATATTTGGGTGGTTCTCAAAATTATGGTCCCTTTTTGGATCCCTATTATAATACGGCACCTAATATTTAGCGTACCCGAAAAGGGATCATGATTTTGACAACCACCCATTGGTAGAAGCACCTTGACTCTCCGTTGACGTTGACGTTGGAGCTCTGTAAGGCCTTATGAGCTATAGTTTAAACTCCTGAAAAGGGGTTCTATAGGGGATCATATAGGGGACTATTATAGGGGCTATAAAGGGGGATACCAGGAGTTTAGACCATAGCTCATATATTGTTCCGGCTTGAGGGCAGTTTGTCAG